GCAAATATTATGGAAATTCATGTAAGCTCCCAACTTCTCCTGCCAATGCTTTTGCTCTGAAAAACTGATCAACCTTAGATTGGAACACAGAAAACAATGCGAAATTGTCTCCTGTCACGATTTGTCTGTTCTGGCTCTCCCCCAGCTTTGGGAAGGAGTAGGATTACCGGCTGGCCACTGAAACGGCAAAGGAAAAAAAAGAAAAAAAAGCTCAGTGAGGCTTTTTGTGACTGTGAGGTTATAACTGTAATGCATTCACTCGCTGTGTTGTCTCTAAAGAAGAGTTCGCCGCGGCTTCACTCGTTACCCTCTTGCTAGGCAGCGTCTGGCTTCCAGCAGGGCTTGTGATCCTGCTGGCTACCACCGTCCTGCTCAAGCTGAGCAGCACATACCCAAACACGTGTCAGCAGTTCCACTGGGTCTGCACCCGAAATTAGTGAATGAAAACAATCTGTAATGTTAGAAAACGGCAATCTGATTTCAAATCAAATGTTCCTTTGTACTTTCTGAAGCGCCGTTAGTAATACAAGTAGGTGGAACTAATGTATTTAATAATAAAGCATCAGATCTGCTCTCTGGGAAAAAAAAAAAATAAAAAGGCATTTCCTGCTTGCTTTCTTGTTCCTGAGATGGAGCTTGTCAGCATTTCCCTCTGGTTTTGTTGTTGTGGGAGCGTAACTTATTTCTCTGTCTTCCTTCCCCACAACCAAAGAGCCGTTCTAAGTGTTTTAATCCTCGTTCATTCAAATAGCTCCGTGCGTAGGAGCACACAAGTATTGAGTCGATTAGGAAAAGTGAGTTCCTTTAAGTGAAGTTTATCTCCTCAAACCTGCTTATGTCGTGGGACCTGCCTCATTTATGTAAGGCCTTGTGCTCATATTTCATGTTATTAAATCTGCTGTCAGGGTTTCTTTCTTAAATATCTGCCAAGTTTCCCTTTAGAGGAGCAGTTCAGACAGAAGAAACTAATGCTGGAAAAATCACATTCTTCACATGTTCTTTCTGCCAAGTTTTTTGTTAAAACTGGAGACAAAATACAAAAGATGCCTTTTTTCCTTTTTGTTACTGCCATTTCTTTCATCCCTCTCCCTCTTTATTCCATTTAAAAATGCCACACTGAAGTGAAGTTTATAATTGGAGGGAGAGGCGGGTAATACCCGAGTTGTAATCTGAATTGCCGAATGCCCAGGCTGTCGTTCTCCTCCCCATTAAATGGACTCTGTGATCCGTGGGTGATGAGGCTCTTTGGGCTGGTCCTGCACCCAGCACACCTTGCCCGCAGGCCCCAGGGCAGGGTGTTGATTCAGGGTGGATTTGAAATGCCTGGAGTCTTGTATGTTAATGACAACATCAGTCAGGTATGCTGACGGACTGGCACCCAGTCCGACAATATTTCACCTCTACTTAGAGGCCTCTGGTCAACACGAGTCTCAGACTGCCCATTTAGCTTTTAAGACAGTCAACTCTTAATTCTGGGTGTGGTGCCAAAAGGCTTTCACCCAAACGCTTTTTATAAAGACAGCGCTAGATTGGGAGCCAGATACGTATTTTCTATTTTTAGGAACATTCATTTTTCTGGGTTGGATTTCCTTGTTTGGTTCATTTTGTATTTCCTTGGAAAGATGCACTCTTTACTGAGCAGAATATCCAAAATCACGTCCTCATGCTGATCTACAATCAAGACTGAAAATGTTCATCAGATTTATTGTACTGCTTTTGTTCACCTCTCACATTTTCAGTCTCATACCCATTAGGGTGGTGTTTTCCTTTATGGAAGCGAAAGAAAAACCAAGCAAAGGACATATTTCTGTGTACGGTTGATCCCACTGTATGATTGATGCAGGCAATATACTGGATTTCATAGAATCATTAACGTTGGAAAAGACCTCTTAAGATCATCGAGTCCAACCATCAACCCAACACCACCGTGCCCACTGAACCATGTCCCAGAGTGACAGATCTCCACGTTTTCTGAACACCTCCAGTGATGGTGACTCCACCACCTCCCTGGGCAGCCTGTTCATCCAATACCAGTCAATTCCCATTTCAGAACCTTAAAAGCAGCAAAGACAAACAGAACTGACATACAGATAAAATATATGTGCGTTTAATAATTTCTCACAATATTATAATAATTTTACTCAGTAAGAAATAAAGTGGAGGCAAGCAACACTGTTTCTGTTAACAACTTCTGCTTTCCTGAGGTTTCTTAATTTGCAAGGCAGAAGCAATAATGCCAGCATTCTCTAGAAGAATGAAAATTTGTCAGCAGGATGAGTTCTCCTTGCAGCAGGCAGCTCTCGCGGGAGCGCGTTAGGTAGCCTGCCCAAGGCAGGCTGTCAGCCCCGGCGTCCCGGCACGTCGCGTACAGAACGTTCCCGCTGGCCTCAGATGTAGAGAAGGTCACAGTCCAGCAAAACTGAATCCGGTTACCTGTGCCCTTCCGTTGGCATAAGGACAGCTTTCATATCATGATAAAAGCTTAAAAATGGGTCTTTAGGTAAGCAACAGACCCAATGCCAGTGAAGGTAAAGTCTTTTCAAGAATATTCTATTTCAAGACGTTCTCTTCTTATTTCAAAGAGTGCGAAATCACCGTGAATTTTCTGGATGATTTAGGATGACACATATCAAAGCCAGTTGTAGCACTTTTTGATTTCTTTTTCCTCTCTCTTCAGATTCTCTTTCTAGCATATGCCTGTTGATGATAAGTTGGTTTGCTCTATTGTTTTATGATGCTTTGTGCTTTTTTTTCCAAATAGGAATTTGAAACCTGTGCTTTGCTTACTAATGCTCAGCAACATCTTAAACTACCTTTCATTCGAAGAAATGTAGGCCGGTTATCCCTGGATAAATTACATTGCTGTAACTTGGCAACCTTAAATCTATTGAAAGTACATTGATCTTAATTTCCATTTCCTAAATACTTTTTCAATTATGCCTTAAATATTAGAAATTCTGAATTTTTGTTATACAAATTGCGATGTTTTCATAATACGTGAGACATCAAATTCACCTAGTTGCGTAGTGATCCATAGGCATGCAAAAACTAATTCTTACTTATTTTCTGTCGGTAAGCCTTGGACTTTGCAGCAGAATATCTGTTCTGCCTGAAAAATCTTACAACAAAAAGTAACATAAGGGATAAATCTGACAAAGGAGAGCATTCATGAGGAGAAATTAAGTGCACAATTTAGAATTATATTTGGGGGTGGGGCTGTTTTTAGAATGTATTTAATTCCTGTTGGTGTTTAGGGGCACTAGCGTTTTAAGGAGAATATATAAACAATTTGGGAGGCTGAGATGGCTGGGTAAAAAGAAATACATACTACTCTTAACTGCAGAGAAATTGGAAGATAGCTTGGGAGAAGAAGAAAATGGAATCCAGACAGACGTTAACTAAGTAATATAGAGGAAGAAAAGTGAAAAGACAGACGTTATTTAAGCTTATAAAACCCTCAAATAGGAGACGTTGAGGTTAAATTTGACCCAGCACATGAGAAGAACTCTGGAGGAATTTTTGGCCTGTCCGGACACGGACAGAGCAGCTCTTAGTGTCTGTGAAACAAATAGACTGGAGGTGCATGAAGTGACAGCCTGGAAAAGCAGAGTTCAAGTTATACCGAAAGACGGACAAACCTTGGTAGAAGAAACGTTCAAGTAGGACTTCCTATTAGAATGCTGAGCTTTTGGTTTCTGCCACCAGTTCTGTACTCTGGGGTTCTCTGGGGCAAAAGACAAGGTGCCAGTATTATTTGTTCCTAATGTGTTTATTTTCTATTCAGGTTACACATTTGTTTGATAACGGAGGGACTGTCTTCTTTGCTATTTTCATGGCAATTTGGGGTAAGTACATTTTTATTTGTTTTGTAGTCTTAGTTCACCTGACACTTTTATAGGATCACTGGGTAAAGGGAGATTATAGCTCTTGCTAAAATTTAAAGAAGGATTATGATTTTGTGTCACAAACTTTTTTTTTCTTGTTTTCATCAACTTCAATTTCTGTGCTAGTAGTGGATGAAAATAATACCTTTTATTGTTAATTTAATGTCTTTGTTTAGCATCTTAAATGTCTTTAAGCCTGAATTTTATATCATGCAGGCAGAAGTCTTTTTAGAGGTAAACGGGTAGGTTAATTTACTGATCTGGAGCCAATATAAAAATCACGTATTGTAGAGAACTCTTATAGAATAAATGAGAATGTTTTTGCGGGAGCTAATTACAGGGATGTATAAGAAAGATTTGATGGTAAGTGCTTACAGCAATTTAACTATTTATATTCAAATTCTCAGTCTGAATATCTCGTTATGTTCACACACTTGTCATGTCATGGGGCACAAAGCCGAGCAGGGTGATATCCACAGAGGCCACTGTTGAACAGGGGTTGCCTAGAACAGTCTTCCTTCTCTTTGAAGGTCAGTGGAAAAATGCCATACAGACAGATGTAATGTTTCCAGCATGAAATGCTTGACGGAATTAGCTTTCACTGGAGCTATAGTATTTTGCTGCTAGAAAGGTGGGAAGACTGCTATTGGGAAGAGGGATAATTCATTTTACCAATGTAAATGTTTGTCTATGTAAACCCTGAGAAAATAACACCAGTTCACATACATACAACTGTCTGAATTCAAGCCAGAGCTTTACACTTTTAGAGTCAAATGGTACACAACAGCTTTATTTATGTAATACGTATAAGTAAGCATTAATGATTCTAACAAAGTGAAGGATGAACAAATGTCACAAATTTTAGAGGCCTGGTAAAAACAAAAAACAATATACAAACAACAGCAAAGATGAAAGAGTGAGTGTATGCACACAAAATTCATAATTGGGCTGTAAAAATTACCACGAAGGAAACATAGCTGAAAGGTACGCTTTGATTGCTTGCCTCAGTGATATTTCTTCACTGGCTCCTAATCTTGCTGTTGCAGCCTTGCAATTACTAACAATTGATTTCGTAAGTTCCTAAAATACATTGCACTTGGTTATATGGTTACCAATACATTAGACAACGCTGGGAGCTTCTTAGAATCTCTTCATCTCTGTCTTCGAGTTCTCCGTTGAGAGAGAACATTGCCTTTTTCTTGATTTGAAGCCGCAGAGTGATACTCTCACATGATACAGGTGAAGGTGTCTCAGATTGTCAGCCTGCTATCCAACACGCTGGGTACAGCGTTAGAAATCAGATTCTGGTTTAGATGGAAACGTGCTGATTTCATGACTGAACCCTGTAGGAATGGCAGCACTGCACATATACACTCAATTCTTTAATCTTTTAAAAACTTTGAAATAAATACCTGTTTTACTCATCTGCAGTGTGATTGCCATCGTTTCTCTCTGTGGTGTGTGCCTGCATGTAATTTACTCACATATCAAATAAACTGGCAGGGCAACATTCACGGCCCGTTAGTGAGAGAACTCCATCGACATGATCCACAGTCTCCACACTAAATAACGCATTTTAACAGAGTCATAGTAACAAGCGTATATCCCATGTGAGTAGTTATTTTCTTTGCACTTTATTTTGTTTATTCTATGCCTTTACAGCTGTATCTTTTTCATGTTCTTTATTTAAACATTCCTGGTAATTGCAAACAGGTAAACTATGCAACTATTTGCATTATATTCCCATAGTTTTATTCTTTAGCTCAACAGAACTGGATCATGCTTTTTAGGATGTCTATATACATGACAGAAATAATTCCTTTTCTTTCATGTCAAGATAAGTATTTCTTTTACCCAACCTGTACCAAAACGTTTTACAGCATTTCTACAGATATCTGCAAACAGATAGGTTTGACAGAGGAATAGAAGCTTGTCTTCTGTTTTTGGCTTTGATAGTGATTTTAACTCTCTGTCATAATAGTCAAAGGCTAAATGTAGTCCATGATACTCAGTAGTTCCATTCTCCACAGCAAACTTCAACCTCTAAGTAATCCAAGTAAATCTAATTCTTTTTGTCATACTCACTGAGGAAGCTACAAATGTAGAGTGGGGAAAATAATACCCTGAGTCATTGATCAGGTAGAAATGATATTTGGACAGAATAGTTTCACCTCAAGGTAGTTAAATTTGGGGGTTTTTTGTATTGATGCTAAAATATCATTGCAATCCTAGTCAAATCTTGCTCTGTCACAATGACGGCATTCTTGACCAAAGTTACACACGGCAGAATTTTACCTGTGTGCTGTTTGTCTATGTTGTTTGTGAGAAAGCTAGTATAACCTCACAGGAAAATCATAAGTTTATTATTTAATTACAAAGTAGAAGAATGATGCTCTGCTGGTGGGCCCTGCCTGTTGCGTATCAATGTACCTTGTGATTTTCCTCTTGCTTTCCAAAACTTTTCCAAAACATTTCCAAAACGTTTGCACAGTAATAGCTGTAAGATAACAGCTGCCAGGTAATTTTGGAAAAAAAGAAAGCGTGTAGATAACAGGTGAGGCCATAATCTGAAGCAAACACTACAGGGAAGGGTGGGATGGTGTCATGTCAGCCATAGGAATGTCATCAGGTGGGCACCCTGCGTTGTCTTCCTCTGCCTTGTCTCCTGGGCTGGTTTTGTCATTGGACACACATCCAAAACTCGTATCGTATGGTCCAAGTGAGTTGTCTAAGTGGAGAACTGAAAGGAGAATGTAATTATTTTTTTATATGTTGCTTGAAAGATTCTTATCCCGTACACTGGGTACCTCACCGTTTAGTTCAGCAGTCCCTCGCAGCGGAGTCCAGTTAACCTCTTGCTTAGGTGTGGAGTTGCAAAAGAGGAACGCCCTGATTCACGATCTTCTGAAGATAACATGTGTCCTCCCAGCAACACCCGTTCAGCACTACATGGGTGGTTGACTTTCAAAGCTAGTTCCTAATCTGACCTTCTGGCAGCTTTCAGCTCTTGCATTTAAGCCAAAAGGGTGTATTGCCAGAGTTTTATTTTGATTTGATTTTATATGAGGAAAAAATGACGCTTAGCCTCTCAGTGTTTGTTTGAACATTTAAAAATAAAGTCCAGGAACATGATATAAATGTTTGAAGACTGTGTGATTACACTTTAATACAAGTTTATGCATATTTATGGAGAAGACAAAAGCAATCTTCTTTTTAAATCTCTTAAAAATATTTTTACTCCTAAAACCAGATATAGCTTCATCCTTCATTCTGTAATTGAAGTTGGATGAGTAAGGAGTCTAGCCTTTTTCAGTTAATCAAAGTTTGGGAGAACTTTTGAGCTGTAGTTTTGAACTCACCTGCAATTCTTTGAACGGGTTCACTGATACTAGATACGTATTTCCTGATATTTCAGAGGTTAAAAAAATAACTCGTAAAGAGGAGTCACAGAGTTAAGGGGAGTATTGATTGAGCTAAAACTTAAAGATAATAAAGTACTGTCAGTTGAAAACTAGTTTGACTGGAGTCAGTGATGTAATTCCTAATAATTGAATAAGACCAGACTACCTAAGCAGCTCTGTGCAGAAATAGCAAATGTTCTTAGGCAAAACACTTGTGCTGCTCCTTACCTGGGTCATTCCTTGTATCATCATACAGCCGTCTGTGGGAAAATGACTCAGACCTTTTCTTACCACATATAAAATATCCAGTCAGGCCAATTAATATAGATCCCAAAATGGCTCCTACAGTGGCACCAACTATTACTCCTTCTTTGTTGGTTTTGTCTAGGAGAGAAAGGAAGAAAGAAGAGACAGTTGAATGAAAGTACGAAATCTGTAAGATCAGATACTTCACTCCTGCTTTATAGCAGTTCAGGGCTTTGCGGAGTGAGACTTTTCACCAAGGCTCTGAAACACTTTGCAGACTGTGACTAAACCAGCCTCTCTGCAGAAAGTCTCTGCCTTTGTAAAAGAAGAGAGACATCTCCATCCTTGACTTTCAAAGGAATAACTGGGGTTAAAAAAAAAAAAAGGCTAAATGAATTTTTATTCAAATAAAAAGATTCCATGTTTAATTACAGAATCAACCACTATCCTTTTATTTAAAGAAATAAGCAGCAATCACTCTCTCAGTCCAATTCTTTGTAAGTATTTAAGCCAGCAGTTAGAACTGCAGCCTCTGAATTTCAAGTGATTAAGTTTTATAGTACCAGTTTTTGAGAATGCGAGGTAAGAAATCCAGTAATGCTTTCTGCACCTGTTCAGTTAGGAGAATAACTGCATTCCTCCGAGATTTTCCTCAGATTTCATAAAACTTTTCTTCAAAGTATTCTGTTTTTCTTGGAACTGAACTTGCTCTCCCACCCCCCTTCCTTTTCGTTCATGTTATCTAAAAATTGGGTACGTTGTAATTATTAGAACTATGATGGGAAACATGAAAGTCTCCTTTCATACTAAGATGCTCCTTCAGTCTTAGTACAAACTGTATTCTACTGGATATGATGGATAAGCCTTTCAGTCCTGTGTTAAAAGCTTGAAAGCTAATTAATGGCAAAAAAATACTGTATCTTCTAATCTTTCCTTTTCTTTTCCTGAAGACCTGATTCAGAGCAGCGGGATAGAAAAGTGCCATAACAGTTTTATGCTCCATTGTTTTCCCACGCATACTCAACTTGATAATTAAATGCACAATGAGTAATTCCTTTGGAAGCATCTATAAGAAGTCATCTTTGGTCACAAAAGTTTCGGAACTTAAATCAGTTGATGGGCTACACGTTTTAGATGTTATCTTTACACATCTGCTCTGAAGGTCCACTGAAGTGCAAATGGGCAGTACCTGTCGTTAGGTTCCCCCACTCTTGGAAGTGTTAAACAAATAAGTAAACAAATAATTTTTTAAAATATTTTTTGATTTTGGGTGAGTTTAAGTTTTAGTCTGTACTAGGGCATCTGTTAATTCAC